CTCTTTCCTCTCTTCCTTGTCTTTCTCTTCTCTTTCCTCTTTTTCTTCTCTTCCTTGTGTTTCTCTTCCTTCTCTTTCTGTTTCTTCTCTTCCTTCTCTTTCTCTTTCTTCTCTTTCCTCTCTCTCCCTCTTCCTTGTCTTTCTGTTTCTTCTCTCTCTCTTTCTTCCCTTCCTTCTCTTTCTCTTTCTTCTCTTTCCTCTCTTTCCTCTCTTCCTTCTCTTTGTCTTTCTTCTCTTTCCTCTCAGGAAGGGACAAAGAAGAGAAAGAAGAAAAAGAAAAAAGGAAGAGAAGAAAGACAGGAAAGAGACGAAAGAGAAAGAGAAGGAAGAGAAAGAGAAGGAAGAGAAAGAGAAGGAAGAGAAGGAGAAGGAAGAGAATAAAGAGAGGAAAGAGAGAAGAAAAAGAAAGAGAAGGAAGAAAGGACGAGAGAAAAGAGAGGAAAGAGAAGGAAGAGAAAGAGAAGGAAGAGAAGAAAGAGAGGAAAGAAAAGAAAGAGAAATAAAAGGAAGAGCAGAAAGAGAGAGGAAAAAAAGAAAGAAAAAGAGAAGGAAGAGAGGAAAGAGAGGAAAGAGAAGAAAGAGAAAGAGAAGGAAGGGAAGAAAGAGAAAGAGAAGAAACAGAAAGAGAAGGAAGAGAAGCCAAAGAGGAAAGAGAAGAAAGAGACAGAGAAAAAAGAGCAGAAAGAGAGGAAGGAGAAGAAAGAGAAAGAGAAGGAAGAGCAGCAAGAGAGGAGAGAGAGGAAACAAAAGAAAAAGAAAGAGAGGGAAGAGAAAGAGAAGGAAGAGAAGAAAGAGAGGAAAGTCAAGAAAGAGCAAGAGAAGGAAGAGAAGAAAGAAAGGAAAGAGAAGAAAGAAAGGAAGGAGAAGAAAGAAAGGAAAGAGAAGAAAGAGAAAGAGAAGGAAGAGAAGCAAGAGAGGACGGAGAAGAAAGAGAAAGAGAAGGAAGAAAAGAAAGAGAAGATCTTCTCTTTCTCCTCTTCCTTTTCTTTCTCTGCCTTCTCTTTCTCTTTCTTCTCTTTCGTCTTTTCCTTGTCTTTCTCTTTCTTCTCTTTCCTCTCTTTCCGCTCTTCCTTCTCTGCTCTTGATTCTCTTTCCTCTCTTTCCTCTCTTCCTTCCTTTTTCTTTCTTTTTTTCCTCTCTCTTTCTGCTCTTCCTTTTATTTCTCTTTCTTCTCTTTCCTCTCTTTCTTCTCTTCCTTCTCTTTCTTCTCTTCCTTCTCTTTCTCTTTCTTTTCTGTCTTCTCTTCCTTATCTTTCTCTTTCTTCTCTTTCCTCTCTGTCTTCTCTTCCTTCTCTTTCTCTTTCTCTTTCTTGTCTTTCCTTTCTTCCTTCTCTCCCTCCTCTTCTTTCTCTTGCTCTTTCTCATCTTTCCTCTCTTTCGTCTCGTCCTTCTTCTTCTTTTCCCTCTCTTTCTTACCTCCCTTCTCTTTCTCTTTCTTCTCTTTCCTCTCTATTTTCTCCTCCTTCTCTTTCCCTTTTTTCTCCTTCTCTTTCTGCTCCTTTCTCTTTTTCTTTCTTCTCTTTCCTCCCATTCGTCTTTTTCTTCTCTTGCTTATTTTTCTCTTTCTTCTCCTTCCTCTCTCGCTTCTCTTCCTTGTCTTTCTATTTCTTCTCTTTCCTGTATTTCTTCTCTTCCTTCTCTTCCTTCTCTTGCTCTTTCTTGACTTTCCTCTCTTTCTTCTCTTCCTTCTCTTTCTCTTTCTTCTCTTTCCTCTCTTTCTTCTCTTCCTTTCTGTTTCTTCTCTTTCCTCTCTTTGTTGCCTTCCTTCTCTTTCTGTTTCTTCTCTTTCGCTTTCTTCTTCTCCTTCTCTTTCTCTTTCGTTTCTTTCTGTTTCTTCTCTTTCTCTTTCTTCTCTTCCTTCTCTTTCTCTTCCTTGTCTTTCCTCTCTTCCTTCTCTTTTTCTTTCTTCTCTTTCCTCTCTTTCTTCTCTTCTCTTTCTTCTCTTTCCTCTCTTTCCTCTCTTTCTTCTCTGCTTTGCTTCTCTTTCCGCTCTTTCTTACCTTTCTTTTCTTTCTTCTCTTCCTTCTCTTTCTCTCACTTCTCTTTCCTCTCTTTCTTCTCTTCCTTCTCTTTCCTCTCGCTCTCTTTGTTCTCTTCCTTCTCTTTCTCATTTTCCTCTTTCTCTTTCTTCTCTTCCTGCTCTTTCTCTTTCTTCTCTTTCCTGTCGTTCTTCTCTTCCTTCTCTTTCTCTTTCTTCTCTTTCCTGTCGACTTTGTTCGGCGTGTCGGATCCCTAAGAGAGGATAGAGGATAACCCCCCCCCCTCTCTTGGGGCTGCCGGGCGGGGGGGGTGGTGGCGCAGCGCCAGACCTGAGAAAGTCCCACGCCACTATCTTTCACTCTCTCTCTCTCGCTCTCTCATTGCTCCACTCGCTCACTCTCCCTCGCTCTCTCGCTCTCTCATTGCTCCACTTGCTCAATCACTCGCTCACTCCCTCTCTCATTGCACCACTCGCTCACTCTCCCTCGCTCTCTCACGCTCTCTCGCTCTCTCATTGCTCCACTTGCTCACTCACTCGCTCACTCGCTTTCTCATTGCTCCACTCTCACTCTCCCTCGCTCTCTTACGCTCTCTCGCTCTCTCATTGCTCCACTCGCTCACTCACTGGCTCACTCGCTCTCTCATTGCTCGCTCACTTTCCCTCGCTCTCTCACGCTCTCTTGCCCGCTCTTTCACTCTCTCTCTCTCTCTTTCTTTCTTTCTTTCTTTCTTTCTTTCTTTCTTTTCTTTCTTTCTTTCTTTCTTTCTTTCTTTCTTTCTTTCTTTCTTTCTTTCTCTCTCTCTCTCTCTCTCTCTCTATCGCTCGCTCTGTCATTGCCCCACTCGCTCACTCACTCGCTCACTCCACTCGACTCCACTCCACTCCACTCCACTCCACTCTCCACTCCACTCTTCACTCCGCTCTCCACCATCTCTATGTCAAACGCATGTCAACACACGTGCGTGAGGTTGGCATCTCCAGCAACTCAGTGCAGCGGTTGGAAACAATGCTACAACAGGCGTAGATTGCAAATTGGCTCAGGCGAATCCAAACGCAGATCCAAACATGCAGCAAAACTTGGATTTGGCGCTTAGAATCACATCAATCGTCAAGCCCACATTCTTGAAACCGGACCACAAGCCCTGGAACTAAGCAGCAAGACTGGCTGATTTCTTTTCCATCCGATCCAAATATCTTGACCATGACCCGTCGCTATTAACCTGATCCCATCCTTGGATATCTGAGAACTACTGAGAACTGTGAACTTTGATGCTGATCCTTGGATGAGCTGATTCACATCTCTGGATGCAATTCAGAATGTCCAGAAGCACTGTTCATCCAACTGCGTGCGCTGATCTTATGAAAGATGTTCAAAGCAAGCTACCTATCGCCTGACAACCTGGTTGGTAACCTGCTTGCCTTGCAACCCCGTCGATTGCTTCAGCTCCTGAACCTTGCGCACCAAGTCCGCAGGGTTTTCCTCTCTTGCCAGGTCATAGGCCGTTCAAACAAGCACACCTTCAGCTGTCTCTTTGAGTTCAGTAGGTGGCAATGAAAGACGACCTCGCTCACCAGTGATGGTTGCAAAGACACTTCTGTCCATCCACCCAAACCAGTGGAGAACGGTATGAGCAACATTCACAGCTGCATTCTTGCAAGCGTTGATGATATCTCCAGCAGTGCTCACCACCTTTGCAACCGCCGTGAGTGCTCCCACCACAACCTCTGCCACAGGTCCCAAAGCCCCAGCAGCTTTTGTGGCGAGCTGATGAGTAACTTGAGATGCGAAGGGCAAATTGAGAAGCTTGTCGTTGACCCATTGGACCACAGGGGAATTCACCACAAAGCCGCACAGGCGAGAGCCAGCCCCTCCAGTCATCCAGGAGCACAAGCCCTTCTCTGCCATAGAAAGCCCTTTGTCCTCCAAGTCTTTGATGCCATTTGCGATGTCATCTGCGCTCACATCTTCCAAGACCTCCCCCTTCAAAGTTGCCAAGCGCCGGGACTTCAGTAGGGCGAGGGCCACTTGGTGCATGGCATTTCCATTGATGGAGACGTGAGCATCCGTTTGATCTCCAACCTTTTCACCACCAGAATCATACGTATGGCTGCCCAGTTCACCACATCCATCAGCGGCCACGTTGTACCAAAATGCGCGAGAGCAATCTCCGTATGTATCTGGACAGCCATCGTCCAGGCAAACGTACTCGGCCACATCATCGGCACATTTGTAGACGCACAAGTTGGTCTTCTGTGTGTTGGGCTCCGGGCTCTCCAACGGTGGAGTAGTTGGGTCTCCGCAGGATGGATCGAAACCCTTTGGGAAGACCTTGCCTTCAGAAGCGACGCAAGTGTGCTTATCCTGGCACCAAACACACTGTGGGCCTCCACCCTTGGCTGGATCTCGGCACATTCTCCAAGCATCATCAGGGGCATGCGGGCATTTGCCTGGAGTGGGTTTGACAGAGCATCCACAGAAGAAGCTGCAAGATTGATCATCCAGCAGGTACTTGCAATCATAGCCGGTGTCGCATCCAAATCCTCCACTTGCAGGGGGCTGGCACCACTTTGACCCAGCTCCACGCTCGTTGAAGCATGCAGTACAATCTGCATAGCACTTATGTTTAGATCCATCTGGGTCATCATGGCACGGATCTTCGAGCGTCGAGTTGAAGATCTCCAAAGCAGCTTTGCAGCCGGTGTTGCCGGCAATGAGGCTCTTGGCATCCATGGGGCACCTGTTGTCGGTGTACATGTGCGGTTTGAATTTCTGGATCAAGGTGCCGGGGCAGCTCTGCTTTGCCTTCTCCACATCACACGGGTCCTTACCCGCTGGAGCTTCCTCACATTGGGCCATGGTGAAGCACTGCCCTCTTATTTTATTTCTTTTCTTGCCCTTCCCTTCTGCTCCATTCCGCCCCCCAGCATACTCCTAGCCACGTACAATTAGCCACCAACAAGGTAGCCTCTGTCCATGCGCAACAAATGTTTCAACCACGAACCCAGTATAGTCAAGCAACCTCTCTAGGCATTTGCGGGTTCATCTATCGGCACCTGTTTTCGGAGATTAGATTGAGTGAAGTGTCTTTCTCATTCGCTTCTGTTTTCCTCTCTTTCTTCTCTTTCCTCTCTTTCTTCTCTTCCTTCTCTGTCTCTTTCTTCTCTTTCTTCTCTTTCCTCTCTTCCTTCTCTTCTCTTGCTTCTCTTGCTTCTCTTTCCTCTCTTCCTTGTCTTTCTCTACTCTTTCCTCTCTTTCTTCTCTTTCTTGTGTTTCTCTTCCTTCTCTTTCTGTTTCTTCTCTTTCTCTTTCTGTTTCTTCTCTTCCTTCTCTTTCTCTTTCTTCTCTTTCCTCTCTCTCCCTCTTCCTTGTCTTTCTGTTTCTTCTCTCTCTCTTTCTTCCCTTCCTTCTCTTTCTCTTTCTTCTCTTTCCTCTCTTTCCTCTCTTCCTTCTCTTTTTCTTTCTTCTCTTTCCTCTCAGGAAGGGAAAAAGAAGAGAAAGAAGAAAGAGAAAAAAGGAAGAGAAGAAAGACAGGAAAGAGACGAAAGAGAAAGAGAAGGAAGAGAAAGAGAAGGAAGAGAAAGAGAAGGAAGAGAAGAAAGAGAGGAAAGAGAGAAGAAAAAGAAAGAGAAGGAAGAAAGGAAGAGAGAAAAGAGAGGAAAGAGAAGGAAGAGAAAGAGAAGGAAGAGAAGAAAGAGAGGAAAGAGAAGAAAGAGAAATAAAAGGAAGAGCAGAAAGAGCGAGGAAAAAAAGAAAGAAAAAGAGAAGGAAGAGAGGAAAGAGAGGAAGAGAAGAAAGAGAAAGAGAAGGAAGGGAAGAAAGAGAAAGAGAAGAAACAGAAAGAGAAGGAAGAGAAGCCAGAGCCTCTCTTTCTTCTCTTCCTTCTCTTTCTTCTCTTCCTTCTCTTTCTCTTTCTCTTGCTTGTCTTTCCTTTCTTCCTTCTCTCCCTGCTCTTCTTTCTCTTTCTCTTTCCCCTCTTTCCTCTCTATCTTCTCCTCCTTCTCTTTCCCTTTTTTCTCCTTCTCTTTCTGATCCCTTCTCTTTTTCTTTCTTCTCTTTCCTCCCATTCGTCTTTTTCTTCTCTTGCTTATCTTTCTCTTTCTTCTCCTTCCTCTCTCGCTTCTCTTCCTTGTCTTTCTCTTTCTTCTCTTTCCTGTATTTCTTCTCTTCCTTCTCTTCCTTCTCTTGCTCTTTCTTGACTTTCCTCTCTTTCTTCTCTTCCTTGTCTTTCTCTTTCTTCTCCTTCCTCTCTTTCTTCTCTGCCTTTCTGTTTCTTCTCTTTCCTCTCTTTCTTGCCTTCCTTCTCTTTCTGTTTCTTCTCTTTCGCTTTCTTCTCATCCTTCTCTTTCTCTTTCGTCTCTTTCTGTTTCTTCTCTTTCTCTTTCTTCTCTTCCTTCTCTTTCTCTTCCTTATCTTTCCTCTCTTCCTTCTCTTTTTCTTTCTTCTCTTTCTTCTCTTCTCTTTCTTCTCTTTCCTCTCTTTCCTCTCTTTCTTCTCTGCTTTGCTTCTCTTTCCGCTCTTTCTTACCTTTCTTCTCTTTCTTCTCTTCCTTCTCTTTCTCTCACTTCTCTTTCCTCTCTTTCTTCTCTTCCTTCTCTTTCCTCTCGCTCTCTTTGTTCTCTTCCTTCTCTTTATCATTTTCCTCTTTCTCTTTCTTCTCTTCCTGCTCTTTCTCTAACTTCTCTTTCCTGTCGTTCTTCTCTTCCTTCTCTTTCTCTTTCTTCTCTTTCCTGTCGACTTTGTTCGGCGTGTCGGATCCCTAAGAGAGGATAGAGGATAACCCCCCCCCCTAACCCCCTCCCCCTGTGTTCTGTTTTTCAGACCATTGATCTCCCGCAACATTTGGCTCAAGGGCCCCCTTTTGCAGAATCAGGACCATCCGAGCGTGAAGACAAAAGAGCCATTGCTACAGGATTATCCACAAGACAATCCACCAGGGACTATCCATCCTGATCCAGGGACCAACAACGACCTCAACTACCACAGGGTTCCAGTTCCCTCCAGAGATGGGCACCTGGGGCAGTGGGCTTCAATTCGTGGCAGCGGAGCAGGTTTTCCGCAGAGATCCAAGGGAAGATGTCATCAGATGGAGAAGGCTTCATGGAAGCCTATACAAGTATGGCCAAGCCGAGCTATACGGAGGAAACACTAAATTTATTGACGACCGCCAAGCAGCCGCCATCGTACGACGGAAAAGTCAGCTGGTTCAGGTACGAGGAACTCGTGGACGACTGGGTGACTATCACCACAGTAGAAGCATCCAAGCGAGGTCCATTGCTTAAGAGCAGACTCACTGGAGATGCTTACATGTACAAGGCCGTCCTCCAGAATGATCTCCTGCAAGATCCTGATGAAGGAGTCAATTATTTCAAGAACACGCTGAAGAAGTACTTTTTGAAAGGTGGACTCCTCAGTCTCTTCAATCATCGGAGGCAGAACCAAGAGTTCCTCATATTTACCTCAAAATTCGAAATCCTTCTTATGAGATTGAAGGCAGCATGGATGGACTTGATGCCAATCTTTACGGCACAGTCCCCATCATTTCGACAGTCCGTACAGGACGCAAATGCAAGAGCAATTGCTCGACATCAGCAAGCAGCCGGTGTTCGAGCACCGCCTCCAGCCCTGCTCAATGAGGACGATCCGACAGTCCTCAGACAGTATATCCAAGGAATGCAGGACAGACAGCGGGACGCATTTCCCTTCGGGGATAATCTCATTGCACAGTTTTTCATCATTCAAAGTGAGTTGTCAGATCAACAAAGAGAGCGACTCACAAGTGCAATGTCATTGAGAAACATCTCACTCGAGAATTATTCCTATGAGATGCTGAAGACGCATTACCATGAACTCTTCATCACCACGAGGACATCGATCCAAGATCCATCCATCCGACCTCAAGGAGGCAGCCGAAGCAACACATTCTTCATCATCGAACAAGGTGAATACGAAGGAGAAGAAGGCTTCTGGGTTGAGGATGAAGAAGGACTTGAAGGATTCATCAAACAACGATGAAGAGACGTTCTGGGTCCTCGAGGAGAACGATGCGTTCATAGCAAGAAAAGTGTCGGGGCGGAACTTCAAGTTCAAGAAGAGAAAAGGAAAAGGAAAATCAGGAAACAAAAAGGGCAGTCACCAACGAGGTGGCTTCAAACCATTCAGAAAAAGCGGTTCTGGCGGAAAGGCCAATATGGCCAACGAAAACTATGATCCCTACGACCAGGCATACTGGGGAAAAGGCAAAGGAAAGAAGGGAAAGAAAGGAAAATCAAAATTCCAGTATCCCTATGATGGAAACAAAGGTTCTCCATCCTATGAGAGTGGTAAAGGAAAGAGCGGACAGGAGAAAGGAAAATCCAAGACGTTCGCAGCCACCGCAGAAAAGACGGAGGAGCAGCCCGCCATCCAGCAGACTGCACCATCCATAGAGCCTACCTATGCCGGTTGGACAGACCAAGATTGGGATCAATCATGGACATGGAATGAACAAGGCTGGTACTCATCCCATGAGACATCCAGCACAGGACAAGCGTTAATGGCATTCCATGATGCATATGAGCATCCTGGGAAAAAGGCCATCCACGAGAAGCTGTCAGATACAGTTTCAGAACACAATCTGTCCGTAACAACAAATCACAGCCTTCTGGCAACAAAGCTGATGGCGCCTGTCATCAACCCTCAGCACAACCCGACCTATGCGATTCTGGACAATGGATGTACCAGATCTATGGGCAGCTGGCATGCAATCCAGCGTTTTACCCAGGCAATCGAACCAATGAAGGACATCATCTCCTATGAGTACATCCCGGCCGAGACCAAGTTCACTTTTGCAAACGGAGAGACCGCCAGGGTAAATTGGACCCTGCATCTTCGATATCACACAACTCCTCCATGCAGTACCAACATCGACGTCCTTGAACAAGGAACTGTACCGATCCTTCTCAGCATCAGCCAGATGCGGAACCTCTATAGATGACCGTCGAGCACACACCTCAATGTGACAAGATCGCACGCAAGGCCTTTGGCATGAATCGTCAAGCAGTTCCAGTATCCGGTACAGGACATGCGCTCGTCGATCTCGCTGGAGTTGCAAGAGTGAAGGCGCATGGAGAAATTGCTCACAAGGGCCTCATCAACTATGTCTATGACGATGATAACAGCATCAAGTTTCCCTCCGGGGATCTCACCAAGAGCGAAACTGTTTGTGCAGCAAAATCATCCGAGACAAAGGAGGACCTAGCAACTCCTAAGATCATTGGGTCTCAAAAGCAGGACCATTGGATCCTTGACAAGAAGAACAAGCAGCTCATCCGTGTGCACATCACGCCCCGAAAGGCGCTGTTCACACCAAATGGAGCCAAGGAATGTCCAATCAATCCTGACCACATTAGCCGAGAACGTACCACGGAAATCATTGACGCATCCGCAGGTGGAGATCCAGATATCTTAGAAGACAATTGGAGACTTACATCCCAGGCAAATAAACCAATGATTAACCTGTTGATAGGTAAGACCATTTTCACCTTCTTGGACAATTCGCTGAAGGACGTAGAAGCAGGTTCAGGATCGGCAGCAGACAGGATCATCGACAAGAGGGCCCAGTCGACTATTGAGCCAGATCCTTTCGCACCATCCTCAGAAGAACCAACATCGCTTCCGCTTGCCCTAGGCAGAATCCACAAGCGATTGTCAAATCCAGAAGAGTTGAAGAAACTCCACCTGCAGCATCATCACATGACAACAGATCAATTTCGATTTAGAACCCGAGCACTTCATTTGCCGAAATCAACATTCGATCTATTTGACAAGATCCGAAGTGAGTGTGAAGTTTGCCAAGCGGCAAAACATGCACCATCACGAAGCAAAACAAGTGGACTTCGAGCGGACACCTTTGGTGACATGACATTCACTGATCACTGTCAAGTTCCTCTTGGAACAGGAGAACACATCATTGTTTTTGTCATCCTGGATGGAGCAACAACATTGCTCACTGCAGAGGCAGTGACAACTACGCAAGAAGTCGAGAACATCACTGTCCTCAGGAACT